GCCCGTAAACCATACACGTCTTACCAATCGCCAGGTGTGGTAACCCCTCTTGTGATCAGTTGGTTTTGCTGATTGCGAATCGGTTTCGCATGAAGTTTCGATACTGCTTCACGACAGCGCCAAGGCCTCATGACTTAGCTCTTCCATGGCCCATTCTCCGAGAGAGGGGGCCGGCGGCAGGGGGCGAATCCCTTACGGATATAACACTCCTTTCTGCACAAGCCCGAGAGAACGAAAATGAGGCGCTTGCTCACAAATCGCTTTGGCCGCTGTTAGGAACTGGAAAAGAGCATACAGAATATCCCGTCGGAAGGACCCCGTGTCGAATCTGAGCATGAACCTACTACCTGCTCGACCTGAGTCTCCTGAGAACCCCCTACGACCATCACCAACTTTGAAGTCTGCGTGTGAGTTATTGCGACACATCTTCGTGGAGGCCTGATGTAGAGACGCGGGGGTCGATATCCCCTTCAACTTCATAGCTGCATATATCGCCGGGTTGCTGCTTAAGATCTTCCAAATGCTGGTCGAAATACTGACCTTTGCTTCTACCATTAAGGCAGCGTAGCCATCAAAAGAAAAATGCCAATCACTGTCAAAAGCTCCCCAACCTAGGCTGCGGTCCACATACTCCGACACGCTGAGCACTTCGGTGACATCTCGCGTTCGCGGTTTCTCTAGATGTCCGACCTCACGGAAGAAAGGAACCACTACGTTTCGTAGAGCGTTACTGTTGACCTTGGAAAACGGTGGCAGCAATACACGTTGAAATTCTGATTCTGCACTGGCACCGTAATCTTTATCGAAGCGCATTGCCATGATGAGGCAAGCCTGGTCAACTTTGTATGCAATGACGCAACGAAAGGCAACCACAACCCCCACCATGGCGGTCGGCATGCCGCGGAAGTACGCATTTCGCTGCCGGAGCGCAGGAATGTCGGCGGCTTGAGCGTCGTGCCCCTGGACGTAATGCATGCCCTGAGTGATGACAAAATAAGGCGTGTCCAAGTCCACGGCTGTGAGGATCGCCTTGAATACGTTGCGGCGGCGGCCTTCCTCGGGGTATAAATAATGGTGCACGCCGATGCAACTCGTAGCCGCCACTCCAAGCAGATTCACCGTCAGGAGCAGGTGGTAGTATGGACTTGGGCGCCAGAGATCACCAGCACTGGTGCCACTGAGCAGCCACGACACCTCAGCCAGCGATGCCTCCTTCGCGACTGTCCACCACTGCCCTGCCCACGCCAAGAGCGTCGCCACGAGGTTGAAGGACATGATTGCGCATGACCACCATGAGGTATGAGTGTGGGGGGGGGGGGGGTCTGTCCCGCAGGGCCAGACGTCGTCATCTGAAGCCAGATCTTGAGCAAAAATGGCTGCGGCGGATGATGATGACGATGAGCAGATGATGATGATGATGATGATGATGATGATGATGATGATGATGATGATGATGATGATGATGATGATGATGATGATGATGATGATGATGATGATGATGATGATGATGATGTCTCGAACGGCTTGCTGGTTTTAGCACTCCTTAGGGGGGGCGGCCAGGGGTATTGCACGGCCTCCGTTCGCGCCCAAATGGTGGGGATGTCTCAAGCGGTTTGCCTGTTTTGGTTGCGAACATCCTCCGCTTTCGGAGCAGATTCTGAGGATGTCTCAGGCGGCTTGCTGGTTTTAGAACTCCTAAGGGGGGGCCGCCAAGGGTCTTGCACGGCCTCCGTTCGCGCCCAAATGGTGGGGATGTCTCAAGCGGTTTGCCTGTTTGGGTCGCGAGCATCCTCCGCTTTCGGAGCAGATTCTGAGGATGTCTCAGGCGAGGCGCTGATTGTCGCACCCCAGAAGGGGCCAGATTTCGAGGATTTCTCAAGCGGTTTGCATGTTTTGGTGGTCAGACGCGTCTGCTGTCAAAGCAGATTCTGAGGATGTCTATGGCGAGGCGCTGATTTCCGCACTCCCAGAGGGCCCAGACTGCGAGGATGTCCTAGACTCACGTATGCTCGAACTCACTCGTGCTCAGGCTCACTCGTACTCAGACTCGCACTCGTCATACTCAGACTCAGGCTCACTCACACCCAGACTTACGCACACTCAGACTCACTCACACTTAGACCCACCCACCCTCAGACTCATTCGTAGTCAGACTCGCACGTGCTCAGACCCACTCAGGGCCATATTCATATCCATCATACTCATACCCAGACGCACTCACAGTCAGATCTACTCACCCTCATATTCACTCACAGTCAGACCCATTCAGACTTAGACTCGTAATCACTATACTCATGCTCAGACTCACTGGTTTTCGCACCTCAGGGGGGGGGGGGGGGGGCAGATTGCGAGGATGTCACAGACTCAAATGTGCTCAGACTCGTACTCATCATACTCATATCAGACTCACTCACACCCAGTCCATGCAAACATATGCACATATAGGGAAGCTCCACGCAGTGAACACTTACTCTGACGCCGCCGACTCCTCAGTCAGGCCTCCTCCCATTCTCGTCTCCTACTTTGATTCGTCCATACTCAGATTCCTTCGCACTCATCCGATTCAGAGTTGTTCACATTCAGACTCATTCATACTCATACTCTCTCGGATTCACTCACGCCAAGACTGCGTCGCAGTCAATTATTCATATTCAGACGATTCGGAGGATGTCTCAGGTGGCATGTTGGTTTCAGTACCCTTAAAAGGGGCCGCCAGACGGGTATTGCACGGCCTCTCAGGCGGTTTGCTTGTTGCGGTGCCCGACATCGTTTGTGTTGGCAGCAACTTGTGAAGATGTCACAGGCGGGGCGTTGGTCTCAGCACCCCTACGGGAAGCCGGCAGGGGGTATTGCATGCGCCCGTTCGCGGCCAGTTTGTGGGGACGTCTCGGGCGGTTTGCCTGTTTCGGTGGCCAACATCGTCTGCGTTTTGAGCAGCTTGTAAGGATGTTTCAAGCGGTGCGCTGCTTTCAGCACCAAAAGGAGCCGCCAGGGGGTATGACTCATGACACGGGCCCGTTCGCGGCCAATTTGTGGGGATGTCTCAAGCGGTTCGCCTGTTTCCGTGTTGAACATCGTGTGCGTGTAGAGCAGATTGTGAGGATGTCTCAGGATGGGCGCTCGTTTCAGCAGCCCGTTCGCGGCCAACGTGTGGGGATGCTCAAGCGACCTGCATGTTTCGGTGGCCAACATCGCCTGCGTATAGACCAGATTGTGAGGATGTCTCAAGCGGGACGCTGGTTTCAGCACCCTTAAGCGGAGCGGCCAGGGGGTGTTTTCACGGGCCCGTTCGCGGCCAATGTGTGGGGATGCCTCAAGCGGTTCGCCTGTTTCCGTGTTCAACACCGTGCGCTTTTATGGCAGTTTGTGAAGATGTCTCAGGCGGAGCGCTGGTTTCAGCACCCCTACGGCGAACCGCCTGGGGTGTTTGCATGGGCCCGTACGCGGCCAGTTCGTGGGGACGTCTCAAGCTGTTTGCCTGTTCTGTGGATCAACATCCTTTGCTGTCAGAGCATATTTGGAGGATGTCTCAGGCGGGGCGCTGGTTTCAGCACCCCTAAAGGAGCCGCCAGGGGGTATGACACGGGCCCGTTCGCGGCCAGTTGTGGGGATGTTTCAGGCGGTTCGCTTGTTTTGTGGCTCAAAATCCTTTGCTTTCAGAACAGATCTGGAGCATGTCTCAGGCGGGGCGCTGGTTTCAGCACCCCTGAGGGCGCTGGTTTCCTTCTCTCTCTCTCTCGCTCCTCCGCTCCCTCTCCTGTGCACTTCCTCCATGCACCTCTGTCGCGTTCTCGCTCGGGCCTCCAGGGGCCGAGTCGGACTCCGGGAGGGGTTGGCCTCAGGGGGCAGATCCAGTGATCCACAGGCCGGCAGCGCGTTCTTGGTTGAAGGGCGTCTCTGTTACACCCCGGGTGGGTGAGTGGAGAGATGGCTGATGACGCAGATGGGTGCGCGCACTTGTGCTCGTCGCTCACATGGACGCGCTCTAAGATCAATCAGATCATAAACATATGCTCACCATGGCACTATCCTACAACATGAGATGCATGTATAGCTCATATGGCTAGACGCTCATATACATATCCCAAATACAAGCTATCTTCTTAAGAGATCCACATTTGGGGAGCTCCACGCAGTGAGCAATCCTTCTGTAGCGGAACACGACCAGCTTGAGAGCAGGCAGAGGGGACGTGGAAAGGAGGGCGACGAGGAAGACGACGACGGCGACGACAAGCGGAATGGAGGCACGGCCACGGCGAGGAGGCCGGCAACGAGGGACGCTCCAGTGTGGGCCGACCTGGCAGCGCGGGCAAGGGGGAACGGTAGGTCGGGCACGTCCCCCCTACAGGCGGATCATGAGCGAAAAATGAAAAATACTTCAAACATCCCCCAAATGGTCAAACAAATAAAAACAAATCGTTCCCATATCATTGTTTGTAAACTGCTTTTGAATATTCCTCCTGTAGAAGGACAGGCCCGACTTAAGGGAACGCCGATCCAACCCTGAGACATGCCGTAGCGAACCAGGACAGGGCAAATCGATCCACAGTGGACAAAAAGGAGCCAACATAAACAAATACAAACTGCCGGAGCTCCCCGCAGATTCGATTCCGTGGGTCGGCGCCGGGCACTCCTCCCTGGCGCGCGGAGCGCGCCAAGTGCGGCGCCTGGGGCGCCGCCAGTGAGGCGCCGAGCCCCGATCCCAGATATCCGCGCGGAGGTCCGAAAGTCAATGTTCACGCTTACATTTAAGAAACAGAGAAGGCTCGGCGGCGAGCCTGGGGGGGAAGGGAGAAGGGGCGGGCCTTCTCAAAGGCTCGAAAGTCCCCCAGCCCTCTGAGAAGCTTTCTTAGTCTCCACCGAAGGCACCGAGAACCTCCCAGAAGGCGCGAGGGCTTCTTGGAAGCCCCGCCGTCCTTTGAGAAGGCCCTCTCCTCCTTCTCGCTTCCACCCATCGCTCGCCGCAGCGAGGCGGCGGGAGACACAATCCTTGAGCGCCATCACTGCCTTCTCGAAGAGCACGGGCGCGGGGATGCTGCCGGTGCTCTCCACGGTGAACACGCCGGGCTCGCAACTGCTGCGAGCCACGCGCGCGCGGGATGCCGTGTGCGCGTCGCGTGGCCCCCGACCGGTGCGTCGGACAGTGCTCGCAGGGCCCAGTATCAGAACAAGAGTCGGCGAGGAGCGAGGGGGGGGGGAAGCGAGAAGGAGAAGGCCTCCTCAGAAGGCGGCGGGGGCTTCTCACGAGCCCTCGCGCCTTCTGAGGGGTCTTCCGCGTCTTCGGGGCAGGCTCAGAGAGCTTCTCAGGAATGCGGGGGACTTCCGAGCCTTCTGAGAAGAAGGCCCGTCCATTCTCACTCCCCCCCCCCCGGGCTCGCCGCAGAACCAGGGCCCGATATTGAAAGAAGAAACTGGCATTTACATGCAATCTCAGACGTCCCTCCCATTCTCGGCCTCCTCGTCCTCCCCTTCGCCATTTCTCGCACTCTTCTCGCTCCTCCGGCCCTGGTCGGCCCCATGGCGTCGATGCTGACGCGGGGCGAAGGCACCGAACGTGAAGGTCGAGCTGGCATACTGTACCGCCATCCAAATAACCCGAAAGATGAGCGTCACCTCTCGGGAGTCCGCCCTGATTTCGTGCATCGCCACCGGACCTTTCCGGCGGCGCCCCGACGGCGTCGCGCCTGGCGCGCGGAGCACGCGCCCAGCGCCGGCTCGAGAGCTCCGCGCCGGCCTCCGCAGGGTGACGTTGGCGCAGTGTCTTGCTCTTCGAAGGGCGGTGCCCCCTGCCAGCTCCGCCCGAGGCTGCCCGTCCTTCACGTCTGATGGCCAGGGCAGGAAGAGGAGGCAGGGGGGAGATGGTGACGAGGGCGGGGAGGCCCAGAGGGGGAAGGGAGCGGAGGGGACCACTGCATGTGTGTCAGACACGTGCTAGGTCAGGGGGGTGGGGCAGGAACTTTGCCAGACCCCCGTGAGCCCAGCGAATGCCGACGGGAAGCTCCCCCATCCCAACCTTTCTCGTTCACCCCCCCCCTCCTCAACCGAATCCTCTTCTGGTTCCTCCTCTGTGCTGCTCCTCCTCCTGCTTCATTCTACTACTAAGACCATTCCTCCTCCTGTGCGTGTTCAGATTTATCTTCTTCATTTCGCCTCATCGCTCCTCCCCATGCTCCTGCTTCATCTGTTAATTCCTCTCCTGCATCCTCCTCATCATTCATATGAACTTCTTAGCCGTGTAGCGCACGGCTGGACGCCAAGCTTACAAAGAGTAAGTAGGCTCTGGTCTGGCTAGTCTGGTTGGTCTGGTTTGAGCTTCGTCTCACAGCCTTAGCTTAGGAACCGGGCGAAAGTGGTTTAGGGGAGGTCCGGCGAGGCAGCGCCAACCACCACGACGACGACCGAAATAAAGTTAGATTTGGATTGCAGTTGTTTTTGCTTTGCGTTGTTTTTGCATTGCAGTTTGTTTTGCATCTGGTCTGGCTGGTCTGGTCGGTCTGGTTTGAGCCTCGTCTTGCAGCCTTCTGAGCTTAGGATCATGGCGAGAGTGGTTAAGGGGAGGTCTGGTGAGGCAGCACCAACCTCAACGACGACCGAAATGCACTTTTTGATTGCATTGAAGTGTTCATTTGCAATTCGTTTTGCATTGCAATGTTCTTTGCATCTGGTTTGGCTGCTCTGGTTGGAGCTTCGTCTTGCAAGTTAAGCTTAGGATCCGTGCGAAAGTGGTTTAGAGGAGGTCTGGCGAGGCAGCGCCAACCACCACGACGACGACCGAAATGCATTTTCTGTACATTGAACTTATCTTGCTTGACATTTGCTTTTGCATTGAAATATGGTTTGCATCTGGTCTGGCTGGTCTGGTGGGTCTGGTTTGAGCCTCGTCTTGCAGTCTTAGCTTGGGATCTGGGCGAGAGTGCTTTCTTTAGGGGAGGTCTGGCGAGGCAGCACCAACCACCACGACGATCAAAATGCCTTGTAATTGCATTGAAGTTGTTTGGTTGGAGCTTCGTCTTGCAGCCTTCTTAGCTTAGGTATGGTCTGCTTGGTCTGGTCTCGTTCATTGGTCTGGTCTGGTTTGGTCTGGTTGGTCTGGCTGCTCTTGCTCAGGAGCGAACTGAAATACAAGACGGCGGACACAACGGGCCTCGGGGGCGAACTGAAATACAAGACGGCAAACGCAGGGAGGCTCGTGGGCGAACTGAAATACCGGACGGCGGGCACAGGGGGGCTCAGGGGCGCCCGTGTAGCGCACGGCGGAACGCCGAGCTCACAAAGAGCAAGTTTGGTGGTTCCCAGAGGGAACAAAGGAAAAGGAGGAAGATATGGGACGAACAAGGAGGAAGATGATAAAGATGACGACGACGAGGAAGATATCAGGCCCAATGCCGCCGTCTGAGGAGGAGGGCGGCCGCGCGTTGGCCTTGCAAGGCGTTCTTCCTGTGCCCCCACCACGACACAGACCAACCAGACCAGCCAGTCCAACCAGACTAGCGCACGGCGGGACGCCAAGATTCAACAGAGCAAGCTTAAATATTGGGACTTAAGCTCTAGCTTAAGACTTAAACTGGTCTGGTTGGTCTACATGGCAGATCTGACTGGCTTGTCTGACTGACCATGTCCGATCAGGTCCGTCCGGCTAGGTTTGTCTGCTTGGTCCAGCCAGGTTGGTCTGCTTAGTCTGGTCTGGGTTTCGCTTGTCTGAACGACTAGCTGGTCTGCCTGGTCTGGTTGGTCTACCTGACTAGTTAGGCTGGCTGGTCTGACGAGTCTGCTTGGTCCAGGCAGGTTGGTCTGCTTAGTCTGGTCTGTGCTTCGCTGGTCCGAACGGCTGGCTGGTCTGGTTGGTCTGATTACTCTACCTGGCTGGTCTGGTTGGTCTACCTGGCCTGTCTGACTGGCCCGTCTGGCTAGTCTGCTTGGTCGTGGCCGTTGTCCTCGTCCTCGCCCTCGACTTAGTCGTCGTCGTCGTCATCGTCGTCCTGCCCTTTGCGTCGCCGCAGTCGGGGCTGGGACCGAAAGCGCTGCTGCGTCAAGTCCGGCTGCGGCGGAAAGGGAGGTGGGGAACGAGGGAACATCAGCAGCCGTATCAGCTCTTTTGCCCCAAAGCAAAGTAAGGCGCTGGGGCATCAGAACGTTCCGCCTCGAGCGGCTTAGAATAGTGCCCTATACTTCCTCTGCCATGGGGAGCAGGACGAGAAGGGGTAGTGGGAGGAGTAAGAGGGAGAGGAGGAACGACTTCGCGAATTGCAGTTACGACGATGTCGATGGAGCTGCCTCTCGGGTAAGTTGGGGTCTGCCTCCTGCGGCATCCTGGGGCAACTACGTGGTGTGGCACAGCCGTGTCTTGCCGCGTTTGCCAGGGAGCTCGCGTTCCTTGAATCAAAACCCCTGGGACGACCCCTATCCGACGACTTGGTGCGGCGCCGATAACGCTTGTTCCACCAAAAGGACTTACCTACTCAGATGCTTTGCATAGTGTGCGGTTTGCGACGGGTGGAAAACTCGGGGCGACAGAAGATAGATATACTGGTACTCTGCGTTCTGAAAACAGAAAATGCATTTAAAAAAGCTCTTTTTCGAAGAACTGATCCTGCCAATCCTCTGGCCAACCCCAATCAACCCTCCGGACAACCCCTACTGGCCCCAGTCAGTCCTCCCAGCCATACCCTCCGACCAACCCTGCACAGAGCGTGCTTCCGCAAGATACACTGATTACCATTGGGGAGTACTCGCGGGAACGATTCAGGGCAATGGAATCCGGGGGCGAATGTCATGATCTGGTGAGGCGTTAGATCCAGTATTCGGCCGGATTGGGCCTAACCAAGCAGAATGAAGTCAGGCCATATTTCAACCTCGGATGCACCACCGCCGATACGAAATTCAGCCTCCTAGTAGTTGCAACCTTGGGATCCCGACCCCCGACGTCATGATTTTTTCTTGTGGACCAACAGAAATGTCGACTAATTCCCTCGGACCGGGTTTCATCCCGAAAGCCTGTTTAATGATCATGGGGCTACTGGAATGCGAAAATATTACGTACCGAAAACCTCCCGTCATGATTTGTTTTTGTGACGACTCGATGGGGGCCTGGAGCGAAGGACGACCGACCAAGTGGACCCGATGGCACCTGCCCTCCGAGGGCTGGGCGGGGAGGCGGCAACGCCTCGCGGGAGTCACAGGGCCGGCGCAGGCACCAAGCACGGACCCCCCCCCCCGCCCAGGTCTACGCAGCCACTCCAGACCACCTCCTCCTCCCTCCTCCCTCTTCCTCCCTCCTATCTCCTCCGCCCCGTCCTCCTCATCCTCCCTCCTCCCTTCTCCGCCCCCTCCTCCTCCTCCTCCCCCTCCTTTTCCTCCCTCCTCCTCCTCCTCCTCCTCCTCCTCCTCCTCCTTCTCTCCCTCCTCCTCCTCCCCCTCCTTTTCCTCCTCCTCCTCGTCCTCCCCTCCCCCTCCTGCTCCTGCTCCTCCTCCTCCTCCTCCTCCTCCTCCTCCTCCTCCCCCTCCTCCTCCTCCTTCTCCTCTATTTTGGCAGCAACGCCAAGGCCTCTGTGTACAGCTGCTCACATCAGTCCAGAGGCGCATCTGGTACGACACCGAACCTGTACCTTACAGCAGTGGGATGAATTCGTCGATGTCGACAAACACACCCTTCTTATCAGGGTGGAGGCCTTTTTACGGAGCTTGCGCATGTTCTTCATGCCCGTCACCGTCGGAGGACCGCACTTACGGCCCAGGCCGAAAACTTGCACGTCATGCAAAGGAGCAAGTGAGACTTATCTGAGCATGGGAACGCCAACGCCCTATGCCCGAGACGCTCCAGGACGGCCTGGTCGAGCCTGCTGCGGCCCGCACACTCCGAAACGCCCAACGGCAGGGATACCGCCCTGGAACCTCGCAAACAAACACGGCACCGCACTCGCACTCGTGCTCGCACATGCAGCCCTGGACTGCAATGGCGCTCGCACTCGTGCTCGAGTCCAGACCCACAGGTCGCGGTGGCTTTGGCGGCTGGACTCGCTCAAGGCCACGGAACTCTACTTTGGGCCAGAGCTGGAGGAGCTCCGCTC